GGGCGCAATTGACCGAGGAAGTCTGGCAAAAAGTGGGCGTTGACAGAGCGGTCGTCAGACCCGGTCAGCGTCACCCGCATTGACAGATGGGAGTTGCCACAAAGATATTATTACCTAATTGTTTCAATGTCTCCGATTGATTTTTTCTTAGTTTTTTTGCAGTAATGTTATTCAATAGTGTGTATTGTAATATATTTATATAATAAAAGTGGTTAATAATCGCTATACTCAAAAGTATGATGTGCATATTAGTGATTCAATTATTATGTTTATAAAACAATGAACAAATAGTTTTGCTGCTATTACACTCTATACACAGGTTATATATAAGTATTGGCATGTTTTGGTCACCATAACGAACCACTAAGTTGGTATTGAGAGTCGAAAAGCAACGAGGAGTTACCGCCACACACCAGCCAGCCACTCGCTGCCACTCCCTCAACACACGCACTAAACTTTCTCCCCCAACAATACCAGTTGTGGTGTTATTACACTATATACAGACGTTATATATAAGTATGTGTATATTTTGTTCACCACAACTATACAGCTAAGCTGATATAGTTAGTTCAGGCACTAAGAGTCGTCGCTATACACAGATGGCGGCTGGCGGCTCCCTCACTCTTTCAAGGTCACACGCACTAAACTTTCTCCCCCAACAATACCTTTTGCAGTGTTATTACCCTATATACATATATTATATATAAATATCTACATGTTGTATGCACCGTAACTGTACACCTAAGCTTGTAGTGCGCCCAAAGAGCATAGTGGCCACCCTCTAAACAGCTAGACAAATCGTGCAGACGACGTCACCTCCGTCACCCATATGGCTCCTCCCAGCATAATCCTTTTGCTGTTATTACACTAATACACACATTATATATAAGTATCTACATTTGTGTTCACCATAGAGAACCACTGACCTGGTATGGTGAACGCAAACAATAACAGGTGGCCACACAGTCAGTAAACGATGCTGTCTTCCTCCGTCTCTCAGCATCACTCCTCCCACAGCGCTAATTATTACAACAATCCTGCTATTATCACAACCCTGGTTATTTATATCACAGTCATTGGTCATCTGTAATATTGTCATCGCTAAATAATAACAATTATATATTTATTTTGACATTTTTCGGCGATGCTGTGGTCACAAGCTGAACATCAATGCTGTTCGCTCATGCTGCGTGCGCCGGCCTTGGTTGCTCCAACAGTACTGTGCCTCTCACACCTGAGAATATTGCCCACGATTTTTTTTTTAAATGGCATCTGTTTACAAGAGCCCTGAGGAAGCTACTGTGAACCCCGTGTAGCCGCGGGCCATTTGAATCAGGCCTGGCACCCTATGGCGTATATATACGCCATGCGCACCATGGGACATGTTACTCAGGGCGTATATATACGCCATGCGCAGTTTAAGGGTTAACTCACCTGCAGAACGAACGTGTCACGACACAACATAGCTAAGAAGATTCCGGGAGCACCACCAGTGGAAGAAGGCAGAGCCGCACATACAGAAGAAGAGTGGGGTAGAGGCGAAGGAGCCCCACACCCATAAGCAGGGAAAACCCAGCGTCCACCCATAGCAGCAATCCAGAACACCCCCAGGAGCTACAGGGCACAGACTGGAGAATTGAGAAGAGCGTGAGGCAAAGTACCCAAGAGAAAAAGGTATGCAAAACCCCAGCTCACGTGCACACCGCCCGTATCAAAACAAACAACCACGGCGCATGCGCTGCAGGGATACCAGACGTGGGTCGCCAGAAGTCGCGAGCTGAAGAAAGAAACCACGAATGTGACTAGAGAATGAGACAAAACAGTGTTGTTAACGACCGAATCCCATATGAGAGTACACAGGGCAGCCGCCAACCGTAGTCGAAATGAGCAGGAACGAGCGAAAAGAAACACAGCACAGCTCCCCATTTAGGCTACAAAGAGCCCAACCAGGCTACAAGGAGCCCCATTTGGCCACCCAGTGCAGAGTAGGATCATGCACGGAAAGAAGAGACAAACACGAAAGAACGAAACAGAACCGAAAACCGAGAAGCTTGGAGAAGGGCCAACAAGCCCCAGAAAGGACCGGAAGACGACAGACGTTCCAAGAATACGGGAAGAATCAAAACCTTCCCGAACCTTCTAGAACAAAGAAGCAAGCGTGAAGCACGAAGGCAAAGAAAATAAGTCGCACCCGAGACCAAAATTCATGCAGATCCCAGAGAATAGGGGAACATGACTGTGAAGGCCCGTCCCAAGAACAAGGGTGGAGAAACATACCCACCGACAGGATGGACCCAACAGATCCAAGGGACAGGGAACCAATCCCGGGGAGGGCCGACTCCCAAAAAATGTACTGAGAGGGAGGGGGGGGGGTGAGAGAGAGAAACCCAACTCCTCGTAACAACAAGCCCCACCCAAAGGGTAGAAAAACCCGGGTGGGGTCAAACGTCAGCCCCTCACCAGCCTCGGGAACCCACAAGGCAGGTCCCAGGGCCGAGCCGTTCCCCCAAAGCCCCAGCCTCACAAGAAAAGCCCAGGCAACCGGACAAGTATTAAGGAAGGGAGCCCACTGGCAGACTCATACAACACGGCGGAAGAACAGGCTCGAATGTCTCCGTCGCTACCCCGGAAGGGGGAAATCCCCAAGATCGCCCGAGTCTCAAGCCCAGCAAAGCCCCTCCCCGACCCCGAACCCACAAACTGTAAGGAACTGGACGCAGGGAGGAAGGGGGAGGGGACCCCAACAGGGGAAAGCCAACCAAAACGGAGCAGCCCCGGGGCTCCCGGGGAGCAAACAACCGAGCGCATTGCACCACCGAAACTCATCTTGCAATGCCCGTGCTGCCTGTACCCGCATGTCAGCATAAGACTGGGTAATCTAGCTCCAAACAATCAACACAACTTGCAGGGGCCCTGGGCCGAAGGTGCCACCGACCCCATAGGCAGCAGACAGAGGCAAAACCGCGAGTCACCCTGAGACAAGGGGATAGAGCAACCCTCGAACTCGCTCAAAGCGAGGGGGGGACTCCGGGGCCACATCAACTGGAACCCCGCGCCCCCCTCGGGGTTTCCCAGGGTCCTGAGCGTTTACCTACAGGGACTCACGCCCAGGTAATCCCAGGCAGGGTACTGCTAACCGGCACCCAAGTCTACAAAACAACCTTCTCAGAACTGAACCCCCCGGGACATGTACACTCACGGGGACCTAGCAGGGAGAATCACTGGAAGAAGGAGTAGTACTCAGTACACAGGGGGCAAGAAACAAGGCAGACCCCCACCAAGCAAACTGAGTGGTGAAAACAAGCTGCGCAGTACATAGGCACGCCCCTACCCCGAAGACAAAAAAAGGGAGACAGAACACCCTAGCACACAAAGGGCGGCCAAAAACCAAGCAGTAAACGGCCTAGCAGGGGCAGAACCCAAGGAACTTGTGGAAGGTGGCCCCAAGCCCCAAGGGCAGTACTTACAGGGCACCTAGGGAAGGAATCCCTGGGCGCATGCAGCCCAAGTACTGGAGAATCACTCCCAGCTCAAGCACCACCTAAAAGACAGTCACCACACACTAGGTACAGTGCTGAAACAACCACTGGAGCCAGAGCACACGACCTCACCCTCTAGCATCCGCCTTAGAACTGACGGGTGGATATCCAGCATGAGGGGTCTGGGGCTCCCCCTTCCCCCTCCCGGGAAGGGGGGATCTGCGCAGACAGCGACATAGTGATGTGTGATGTCATGATTGTTTGCTCGTTTCTTTTCGGGGAGTTCTATCCATTTGTTCACTTTTGGTAGCAATAATTTACCAGAATAGTTTTTTATTTGGACGCTTACCTTTCTGGGTGCCTGACCCGGTCGATGGCAGAAATAGAATGCTTCCAACCACACGAGGGTCTCTATAGGCTATTGCTCCCCATGCCTCTCTGTGGGGGCCAGGTTCTGGCTCGTGGTCCCCGGTAGGCCCACAGAACTCCATACACATGACCAATGCCAAAGTCCGACATTAGCATATCTGCCTAGTAAGCTTTGGGGAGCCGACGGGGCTCCTTCCCAGAAAAGTTATTATTATATATCTCGCTATGGGTGTCAAGAAAGCCAGTGGTAAGGTTCAATCCTTAAAGTGTGGCCTGAATGTGTTTCAGAACTAGACTTTGAGGGGGTTTGAGCCTGAACCTGAAGTGCCTATTGTTCAGGAAATTGTTACTCTGAGCTGGCAATTGGGCTTAGAGTTGGATGGTGCTGATGTAGAGGAGTTGGTGGAGGAACACAGCGAAGAACTGACCACCGAAGAACTCCAAGCCTTTCACAAGAAGCAGCAACAAGAGGCAGCTGAGGAAATGTCTTCAGGGAAGGAGGAGGCAGTACAGAATATCCCTTCCTCAACAATTAGGAAGTGGTGTACATTGTGGGAAGAAATGCAAACATTTGTTGAGATAACTCGCCCCGAGCAAGCTGTAGTAGGTCATTGCATTAACCTTTTCAATGACAATGTGATGCCTCACTACAGACAAGTGTTACAATGAAGGGAAAAACAATCCTCAATGGATCGATTTTTAGTGAGAAAATCAAGCAGTGAGCCACAAGCAGGTCCTAGTTGTATGCAGACAAAACATGCAAGAGTGTACCTCAGAGATGTCATCACTGCCTGATGTTATGATGGTAGGGGACTCCCCTTCCAAACACTAACACCTCTCCTCCTCTCACCCCCCTCCTCACTGTCTTCCATAGGCCAACAAAGATCATCAATAGAGGTAAGTAAAAAATTGTACATCCTTTAGTACTAAAGATTTGGGTGAATTAGGTATAAAATTTAATTTGAAGTTATTTTTGGGGAAGTGTGGAATGGATTAATTCAATTTACATTATTTCTTATGGGAAAAGTCGCTTCGGTTTACGAACCGTCTCTGGGAATGGATTAAATTCGTAAGCCAAGTACCACTGTACCCACAATCTCAACATACAAGTATCAATCCCATTCACCACGATCCTCATCGCTCTTCACCTACCTCTCCTTGCCCACTCCATCTGTCAGTGCCACTTGCCGAGTCTCTCTACTCCCTCCAAGACATTGTCAACGTCCAGCATGGAGATGTGGATGTTGCTGTAAGAGGCAAGGGCATGGATGATGGCATCTGTGACCCTTACATGGGTGGACGTGAGGGCTAGGTGGACCTGGTGGTCAGGGTGGTGGACTCCTATGCTCTCTACCATTCACACCTGTGAAGACAAGTTAGTTGTTATCAAAGAAAATGTTATTAAGCACCTGTGAAGAGAGAGTAGACTGAACTCAAAGGTTTGGATGATTAAATTGGTAATAAATGTATTACTCTGTCAATCCGGTTGTGCACTGGAGGAAGGCCGTTCTCTCAATTTGTCACTCCTTAAAAAACTAGCGTTGAATGTAATGAAACGCCATTTTCTGGGTGAGTCCCGGAGGCTCCCCGGAGCTATCCCAGGCTGATATGCTAATGTCAGACTTTGGCATCAGTCATGTGTATGGAGTTCTTAGGCCTACCGGGGACCACGGCCAGAACCGGGCCCCCTCAGAGAGGCAAGGGGAGCAATGGCCTATAGAAGCCCCCGTGTGGTTGGAAGCATTCTATGTCTGCCATCAACCGGAACAGGCACCCAGAAAGGTAAGCGCCTCAAAACAAACCCCTATTCTGGTTAAAATTGCTACCAAAAACCGAACTAGTGGATAGAACTCCCCAACCGGAAACAAGGAAACACACACCGCCGCGCCGCTGTCTGCGCAGCTCCCCCCTTCCCGGGAGGGGGAAGGGGGAGCCCCAGACCTCCCGCGCCGGCTACCCACACCTTAGTTCTTGAGGCTGGATGTCAAAAACGCGAAAAAACGCAAACCGGACGGAGGGAGGGATGCCGGGGAGCCTCCGGGACTCACCCAGAAAATGGCGTTTCATTACATTCAACGCTGGTTTTCTGGGGGGAGCCCCGTCGGCTCCCCGGAGCTAACTACCCACAGACTGAAAAAAGAGGGACTTACCCGGGAGGCGGTCGTCGCTCACCCCTCAACTCGAAGCCGAGACAACTGGCTGCAACCGCCGACCCAAAGCAACACAGGCCCGACGAGGCCCAGGGACATTCACAAGGTAACGAGCAGCCAGGACCCTGTTCGACCGCCAAAATCCCCGCGCCCGAATATCAGACCAAGACATATTCCCAAAGACGGCAGCAAGAGCCGCGAACTTACGAATGTCATGGGCACGGGGATAGACCGCAGGCTGGCTGGACTTAATAACCCTGCGGACGACCTGAGAGATCCGAACCCGCGAACAAGGAACAAGGGAAACCGGATCAACCCACAGCGCGTCCCCGGACACAGAAGCTGTGGCGTGCAAATAACGGCGAAGTGCCGCAACCGGACACAAAACATGATGCACCCCCGGCCTGACCAACCAAGCATCAACCACCCATGGACCCCTCCGGAACGCAGCAGTCTCATTCTTCGCCAGAAAAGAAGGAGACGGCTGCAAACGAACAAAACAATCACCACGACCAAAAAAGCAGAAACCCCTGCGCCGGAGGAGAGCATGAAGCTCCCCTACCCGACCCCCAGAGGCCAAAGCCAACAAGAAAAGTGCCTTGGAAAAACAATCCTGGACCGAAGGGGCCACAACGAAACGAGGAGATGAAAGGCAAGCAAGCACTCTGTCCAAAGACCAGGACAGCTCAGGCGACGCATGAGCAGGCCGGAGGTGAAACAATGCACGAGACAGCTTGCGAAACGGCGCAGACGTAACATCGATACCGAAAGCAAGCTAAAGCGGCTCCGCCAGCGCCGCACGATACGAAGCGACAGTGTTCGGCATAAGATGACGGTCCTGAAACAACCACGAGAGGAAGGACAAGACCACCCGAACAGACAAGGAACTAACACGACGAAGACGCAAAAAGAAACGGAAGGACCGCCAGGAAACTTCATACTGCCGCCGAGAAGCAGCCCTCAGGTGGGACACCAACAAGGAGGCCACCTGATCACCATAGAGATGATGATAGACTCGAGTCAAAAAAACCATACGAGAAGACTCGAGGAGAAGATCGAACCAGACACGTGACGTACCGGCCCGATCTGCTGAAAAGAGGCGGAGCCGCTGGAAAACCCTCGGGTTCGGACACCGAGCAACCAGCGCCTGAAACCAAGGCTGGGCCGGCCACCAAGGGACCAGAAGGACAACTCTCCCCTGGTAAGTCTCTAAGCGAGTCAGGACCTGGAGCAACAGCCGAACCGGGGGAAAGAGGTACAGGAACCCCCACCTCGACCAGTCTAGCCGAAAGGCATCGACCTCGACGGCCTCGCAATCAGGCAAGGGCGCTGCATAAACGGGAAGACGCTGCGACCACGCCGACGCGAAGAGATCCACTTCGGGGCGCCCGAACGTCTGGCAAAGCCAACGGAAGGACTCGTCGTCGACCGTCCACTCTGTGGAGAGGGGAACGAAGCGAGACAGGGCATCAACCAAGACGTTGGACACGCTCCGTACGTGAACCACCAGGAGAGCCAAACCCCAAGAACTCAGCAGACGAGTCACCCGAAGCGACCAACCCCAAAGAGACAAGGACCGCATCGAACCCCAGCGGTTCAGGCAATGAACCACCGGAGAGCAGTCCGAATGGAGCCGAATCGTCAATCCGCAGGCCACCCGATTCCTCCTCAGAGCAAACCACACTGCCGCGAACTCCCGCACCGTGCTGTGAGCTCGACGTAAGGACGGATCCCAACGCCCCTGGCCGGCCTGGTGAGCACTGGTCACAAAACCCCAGCCGAGAGACGACGCATTCGTGTACACATCGAGCGAAGGCTCGGGTAGGCGCCAAGGCACTGAACCCCGAAAAACCCGAAGAGGAAGCCGGTGATGCAGCAACCGACGCAAGGCCCCTGGGGGTCGAACTCTGCGATCGCGAGAGAGGCGGAAGGGGGAACCCTGAAGGAACCAGAACAGCCGTCGAAGCCAAACCCGACCCGGCGGGTAGACCACCATCGCGAAGTTCAGGCTCCCGCACAGCCCCTCGAGCAATCGCCGGGTGACCCGAGGGCCCTCCAGAAACAGACGAAGGCGGGACCGCAGCCGCAGGAGAGACTCCGGAGGGAGAGACAAGGAAGCGGTTCGAGAGTCCCAAACGAGACCCAGCCAAGTCCGAACCTAAGAGGGAACCAGATGGGACTTCCTCCAGTTCACCAAGAACCCAAACTCGGCGAGCTGGGAAAGAACCAAATCCCTGGCTAGCAAGCAAGCTGACTGGCTGGGAGCCCAAACCAGCCAGTCGTCGAGGTAGGCCAACACCCGAACACCTAGGAGACGCAAACGAGCCACCACAACTGTGTAAGGTGCGTGAACATGCGAGGTACCAGGTTCAACCCGAACGGGAGACAACAAAAGCGGTAACTCAGATGCCCCACAACAAAACCAAGCCAGTCCCTGAACCGCGGATGAATCGGGACATGTCAATAAGCATCCCGGAGGTCCAGGGACACCATCCAAGCTCCTGGCTCCAACAGGAGCCGAACCTGAGACAGCGTAGTCATCCGAAAGGAGGGGCAATGAACCCAGGGGTTCAGACGGGACAAGTCCAGAATGAACCGCAGGTCCGCGCAGTCCCGTTTCGGAACCGGAAACAGACGGGAAACCCATCTGAGGGACGACGTCGTTTCGACGACGCCCAAGCGTACTCACTCCAAGACAACTTGACAGAGCGCAGGGGAAGAAACCTGCCCTGCTAGCCCCGACCCCCCAAAGGGGGGAGGGGCCACCCAACGCCACCGCAGACCGCGAGACACGACCCGAAAGGCCCACGAATCGTGGGACCAGGCGCGGGCGAACAGTGCAAGCCGCCCCCCCATTGCCCCATCAAGGGGGCAAACCGCGAAAGGGCCGGTGACCCTTACGAGACCCAGAACCCCGCACAGCGCAAACACCGCGCCGACCAGACGAGGGAGGGTCCGCAGGAGGAGCCAACCCCGAACCTGACACCAGAGGCCTACCACGACGAGAGGAACCCCGAGCCCTGGCACGACCTTTCCGGGCAGACCCACCCCCCGGGACCCCCGGAAAACCAACAAGTCCGACATCGGACGACAAGCCGCCGACGCAGCCTGAATAAACTGCGCCACGGCCGACTCCTCAAACAGGAGAGGACAAAAAGGTGAAGAACGCCTAAGAGCCAGAGCCCAAGCAGATTCCACGGAGGAACCCAGCACTGCCTGCTGACACGCGAGACGGGAAGCATAAAGCAGGGAAACCGCATCCCGCAAAATCGGCGTGAACAGCTTCAACAAGGCAGCCGACGAACGCGCAGCCGAGGACAAGGTGCCAGACCCTGGGACAGACCCAAGCGTCCCCACATCCTCCACAAGCCAATCCGAAGACAGCTCCAGGAGGGAAAAGAACCGCAAGGCCGAAGCCAAAAGGCCCCGGGCGCGCAACTCCTCCGCAACGAGCGCCGCCGAAAGGGAGAGAACCTGCACATGGAGCTGAATAACGCCCACATCGCGGGGAAGGGCAGGGGCAAACAAGCACTCATTCAGGTACTCAAGTTCGCCCCCCAGGAAAACCTGAAGCACCGTGGAAGCTTCCCGCCACTCCAGCGTGCGGGAACGACAGAAGGAATGCCAGGAATCCAGACCAAACAAGGGGCAGTCTGCTAGCCAGGACGACTCCGGAACCTCGTAACGGAGCCAGAAAGGGAACAAAGTCCCAAACCTGAACGTGGACGGATCCATTTCCGAGGCATAATCCGGGTCACGCAGGAGATAAGCTGCAAAGGCCGCTCGCACCACACCAGGTTGGATGCGATAAGCCGAAAACCTCCGGAAGGACGGAACCGACGTACCCGGGGGAACACGAAACCGAACCCAGGGAGGGGCCGACACCAAATCCAACTCGTACGCAAAGGGGGGAAAAGAAAACCCCACTCCTTGTAACAATAAGCCCCGCTCAGTGGGAAGAAAAACCCAGGTGGGGTCCAGCGGGGCCCAATGCCCCCAAGTCAGCCCCTCCCCAGCCTTGAGGTCCTTCACCACAGGACCCGAGGCCGAGTCCTCTCCCCAAGCCCCGACCCCACAAGACAAGGACGGAGCAGCCGGAAAAGCTGGAGGAAGGGGGGCCCACTGGTCAGACCCTGAAGCTTCGGCCGGGAGACAAGACTCGAATGCCTCTGCTGCCCCCCCGGAAGGGGCACCCCCCGAAGCTGCCCGAGTC